TGTAACACTTTATTGAATTTTTGTTTAACAAACTCAACGATTTCAAAGCGAGCCATGGCAACACTGTACGAGGGAAAAAAAACTTTTTATCTCCAGCGCGCAATTCGACAGATATTCAGGAATTAAATTACATGTTTCATGTTTGTTAAACGAAGATATGTGTGAAAATATATTTAAACATTAAATGAAAAAATACCTAAACCAAATTTTGAAACATTACTTCATCTTATGCATTGTCATACACAAATAGTGTGGGTACAAAATTGGAACTCGATACCTGATTAAGAAGTAAATTAAAAATCAATGGCAAAATTTCACCCATAGTGAAATACCATAAATGAACTAAATAAAAGTTTATGAAATTTCGCTGTTTTCGAGTGCTTTGTCTTAATCAGCTAACTAACGGGCCATTTTAAAATGCCTTCCATAAAGGCCATCTAAGGAAAACTCCCTCCGCCATTCATCAGTCATGACGAAGCTTTCGTGTACTTTGTCATAACCAATTTAATCTCCTACAATTCTCAGTTGCCTTCTATTTAAAGGGTCTCTCTATTTTTTTTTCTTTTTAGCTTTATTAGTAAGCACCATTTTTTTCACGCTTACGACATCTCCAATTCAACAGCAAAAGCAACATAGCAGTTGACGTTTAGAATTCCCAATGCAGCGTTAAAGTGCTGGCATATATTTTTCTGTTTTTTTTTTTTTTTTTTTTTTTTTTTTTCCGGGGGGGGGAAGGACTATTGTTTTCGTTTTGCCATTTTGCGTTGAATCACTATAAATGTCCGTTTCACTTTTCAAACTGTTGCCATCAAATGTTAGAGTCCTGCACTATATTTGAAGAAATTAAATAATATAAAAATCTGCATAAATGTATGTATATTTCTAGCATTCTGATAAAACAACGGTACATAGAGCCATCGAATTTTGAATGACGTCATCCTCCTACGAATATGGGCATGTGGAACACCAAATTTTAAATTTGAAATTTGTTTTATGATCGATTTCCTATTTTGTAAAACTTTAACGAATTTTTGATAAACAAACTCAAGGATTTCAAAGCGAGCAATGGCAACACTCTACGGGGGAAAAAACCGTTTTATCTCCAGCGTGCGGAACTGTGTACCTGAAATTCTAAAGATATGCTCATTTTAAAATCATTTTGCGATATTACCTTAGAACTGAATTTTACGGTTTATGTGCGAATAACGTGATATTTAATAAATAAAAGTAACACACGAAACGTTAAAATAAACGCCCTTTTAGGCGTAATGTAAAATCTGAAAGCGTTCGTATTTTATTTTTATTTAAAATTATTGTTTTATTATATTACATCCTTTTCATCACCTTTACTAGCATGGCCGCAGAAGGTATGAATTTTTTGGCACTAGTATCACTAGGGTGTTGGAAACCCCTATACCGACAAAATGTTAAATTAGCCATTTTCGATATACCTTTTCTCAAACTCTGCTGTAGATACACGGTTGAAATTTTTTGTGCAATTAAAGTATACCTATCTGATTCTACTGAAATGAGTTTTTGAAATATTTTGAATTTTAGAGTAATTTACAGAATATTTTGTTAGGCATAGTAAAAATTAGCACTTTTCTCACACAAAAAAATTTTTCAAATTTGTTTTTCTCAGTTTATATCAAGAAGTTCATTTCAATAAATATTAGGAAGCATAATAAATAAGCCATAAAAATTTTAGATGCCTGTGAGGAGTAGTTCCTGAGAAAACGTACATCGAGTATAAGAAAATCACGTTTGGAGAAAAACACGTTTTCATGTAAAAATCCCTATTTATTAAAGCATTCGATGACAAATAAAAACTGGAGTTTTTAAGAAGCTAACAGTGTAGAGAATTTGAAAATTCAAAAATCCGAAATCACCATTTTTTGAAGAATTTTGGCTTCCAACACCCCTTATACACATAACAAATTACAGAAACGGAATCACACAACGGTTACAAAAACTCTATAACGAGGAAGTGATTATCATGTTGGTTTAATCCATCATCGACTACAATCTCATGATTCGAAACGAATTCGTGATGTTCGTAACGAATCGAAGATGTATTTCATATTTTGCCGGTTTGTCATTTGGCATTCTATAGAATGCTTAGGAAATGTGTGAAATCATTTTATACGTTGCCAATCAGTTTTCGGCGTTCCATAAAATGCTTAGATATTGTACATAATGCCAGATTTCATGCATTGCCGGAATCCTTTTGTTTACATTTGTATTTTCAAGTTTATGTATATATATAGTATAAATATATAACGCTATCATGCCTTCGTAGTGTAGTGGAGCAGGCTACTACATATGCCTTCGTAGAGTAGTGGAGCAGGCCACTACACATGCCTTCGTAGTGTAGTGATTAGCAAGCTGGGCGCGTATTCTAGATATCCATAGTTCGTTTCCCGGCGAAGGCTTTGCTCATTTTTAACATCTCCCTCTTCCAAAAAATACCTAATGTCTCTACACCCTTTTACAGGGGAATACGTAGCTACAAATGCCAGCCGCAGGTACTAAAAGTCATTGTTTCCTAGCAACTGCGTTGATATTCCCTGTGGTGGCCAAAATTGTGGACACTTTTGGAAATTTTTATGTTTTTGAACTTTGTATGCTTATAGAAAACGTTACGCTTCACAAAATGCAAACTTGTATATATCATTTTAAAGAGAATTTATTACTGAATTCAATACAAAACACAAAATTCAATTATTTGCAATACAAAAAAGTTAAACGCTAATAGTTATCGATATACATTAGATAGTGTTGCAGTAAGTTATCATTACTTAGTAGGGTACCCTTTATTTTTGATTACAGCTTCACATCGAACGTTTCATTGAGCTGACAAGAGTTTCAAGCTCTTCTTTCGTTATCACATGATGCCAGAAAACAATTATAGCCTTAATTAGTTCCCTTTTATTTGATGGGCGCCTCATTCTGACAAGAGTTTTCAAACGGTGCCACAAATTTTCGATAGGATTGAGGTCAGGACTGTTTCCTGCCCATGACAACAATTTAATGCTCTTTGTACGAAACCACTCTTTCGATATTTTGGCCGTATGGCAAGGAGCAGAATCCTGCTGAAAAATAAACGAAGCATTGTTGGGAAGGAGATCTCTGATGGAAGGTAAAAGTTTTGGTTCTAGAATAGTGTCAATGTATTTTCTGGCATTCAGTGTCCCATCGATGACATGAAGGCGACCAATACCATCTGCTGACATGCATGACCAAATCATAACACTAACTGGGTTCTTCACAGTTGCTTGAATGCAGTCAGGATGTAGCTCTTCTCCTATTCTACGTCTTACATATTTCCGACCATCACTACCGAATAACGAATCTTAGTTTCATCACTCCATATAACTTGTGACCACTGATCATCTGTCCAATTAATGTGTTCCTTTGCCCACTGTAGTCTTTGTTTTTGTTGCTGAAAATTAAGATAAGGCTTTTTTCGTGGAATTCTACCTCTCATTCCAACATCTGTTAATCTTCTCCTGATTGTTCTTGAACTGACAATAACACCATCATCATTCAGATCACTTCTGATGGCCGCTAATGACATTTTTCTATCTTGGAGACATAGTCGTTTTATTCTTCTGTCATCAATGGATGTGGTGCACCTTTTTCGGCCTTTTCCTTCTTTGTTTTTTATTGAATTTGTCTCCTGATACCGTATGCAAAACTTTCGGACTCCAGATGTAGTCACTGAACCATCCACCTGTCTTGCAATTTCAGCATAGGCAAGACCACTTTCTCGTAACACAATAATATTACATCTCTTTCTAGGTGTCCAATCTACTCTTTTATTTGATGTCATTGCTTCTTGACTAAATATTAAAATTTTTACAAAAATTCCTACTTGTAATTGCAGTGTATATGAAACAGGTCCTCCTTCTACAGAACAAAGCAAAATAATGAATTGTTTCAAGTGTAAACATGATGTCGGCTTCTACTGGCAGTCATTAACATTTGATTGGTTCTCAGAACAAGAACAGTGATTGGCCAGGAAAGCTAGACATTACAAACCACTTCATAACTGTGTTTTTTATTTCTATTAACGTACATATAACTTTTTTGTATTGCAAATAATTGAATTTTGTGTTTTGTATTGAATTCAGTAATAAATTCTCTTTAAAATTATATATACAAGTTTGCAGTTTGCGAAACGTAACATTTTCTATAAGCATACAAAGTTCAAAAACATAAAAATTTCCAAAAGTATCCACAATTTTGGCCACCACTGTAAAAGTCATTGTTTCCTAGCAACTGCGTTGATATTCCCTAATAGTATTTCAATGAAATGTTTAAATTGTGCTGTATGGGATGTTTCCTCTTGACATTGTTTTAAGATTTTGTTCTGTAATTTTTTCAGAATAGAATTTTAAAAGATTTTTGCTTGATGTAGAGTCTGCTTCTTCGAGAAATATTTTATTGAACAAAAATTATGTTTTCTCCTGCTAAGAACGCAAATCAGATTGAATCAAAAATAAATGAAGTCATTTATTTGGGAAGGAGAAATAGATTTATCGTTTCTAGAATTTGAAATAACTAGTTTTTAAAATTAGGAAACCTTCTTACCATTTGTTCGCTATCGGAAAATGAAAAGAAAGAATCCATAGTAATTAATTTTCCGTTTAGAACAGTTAACTAAACTAGATTTCCTTTATCGATGCTTCTGATGAACTGCAAGTAATGCTAGTAAAAGATTTATACTTCGCCATTTTTTCCTCGTTTGCTTATTAGAAGATGATTAATGTGAATTTCAGTATTTAATAAAAGAATAATATAGAAAATTTAAAGTAGTAGTTTTCACAAGTAGAATTCTCATTTTATGTGGCAAATAAAAAAAAGGTCAAAAAGGATAAATGATTCTTTTGCCTTTTTTAAATTCTTCCTTTTTTCTGTCAATCAGTAGGAAATTTTCTAGAGCCATTAAAATCTTTTTTTCTAATATGCGATAATTAATAAATTAACTTTTTTTTCAGGTACGTCTCCCACATGATCTTCTGGATTTTTAGCTTAGCACTGCTATCGTGGCCTTTGAGAGTACTGATTCAGTACAATACAGCTTACGTTCACTATCAGGTGAATAAGCTCTTCGGCGTCAACTACCTCACCCCATCCAGTGAAGCACAGATGATTGGTCACATGTCTCGTGGTACCACAATCGACAGTTCGGAATTCGAGCGACAAATCATCAACAATAATACCATCGCACCCAGTTACTCCGAGTCTCTTCTTCTCAGATCCTCCAGCTCATTCATTGAGCAGAATCGATTGGCTCCCAATCAGAACCAGACCGAAACCAACAGACCACCAAACCAGCTCGAATCCAACCGACCAGCGAACCAGACTTCGTCTTCTTCCAGACGATACTCCACTGGAATCCCTGTTTCCATAAGCAGATCGTCCCTCCAAAATGGACGAGTCGTTTATTATGTGTCACCGCTGGAGGAGGTGAACAACGAGAACAGTTCCAGAAGGACTGAGAATGATCTACATCAAAGTTCTACAACGCAAGATTTGGCACCTCCCCCGTCTTATGACGATGCCTTACGTCACTGCCGACCCCTTTTCCTTCCTCTGCGAAGATCGGTGACGGACAGAGACATTCAAAGAAGATTACCCTTGGTGTTTGTACCAGGGCTTCATTTACAAGGTCACCAAAGAGATAGGATTCCTCTTGGAGAAGACATTGAAGAGAACGAGCCGGAATCGGTACAGACTAGGTTATGACCAATAAGGTCTCCTGGGATGAAGGTGACTGTATAGTGTGGATAAATTTCTTAAAATGCATTTTGGAGTGAAGCATTTTTTTTTCTTTGGTGAAAGCCTATAGTTCTAATTTAAGACATTTTGCCACCAGCTAAAGATGAAACTAACCATCCTATTACGCGAGATATATAATGTCTGCAATTTTCTCCCGAGAAATCAAAGCAAAGTTGTTCTAAAACAAATTCAAATAGATACATGCTTCTAGATTTTTGAAACAATATTCTGAGAATTTTTTTAAACCTTATTAAACTTCTGTGCATAGGATTAAACATGGAACGTTGTTTATATCTCTGCATGAGTGTGTTTGCATGATATGTTTTATATATTTCCCCTCTTTTAGTTGTTTGCTTATGGCAATACCTTCTCTCTATAGTCTTCCTTGTGTTAGAAGTCAACCGAAGCACAAAAAGAGCCAGCATATAAAGAATGTGCCACAGTTTCTACTGATTCGTGATTCCAGAGATGGGAAACTGTGGCATCTGTAAGAACATGATGATTTTTGAATTTACGAAATCATAGATGCCAGCATGTATCTAATTAAATTTGTTTTATTTTTTAAAAAATATATTTCTTTGAAATCTTCCGGAAGCTTATTGAAAATCTTAAATTTCTTATTCTATAAAATTTAATATTAATATAAAATTCCTAATTTCCTTTAGGTTTATTAACAGTGCACGTGAATTACAATACGTAAATACAAATTTACTTATTCTTTTGAAATGCTGGTATTATTAACCATACTCACAGTTAAGAAGAATTTATTTAGTTTGCTTTAGTATATGCATAGAAGTTTCGTGATATTATTAAATTTTCAAAAGATTTGTAAAGTATAGAAACTGGTGGATATTTATTTTATCGATTTTTTTAATCTGTTATAAAAAATAGAGTTTCCAATTTTTCATCAAGATTCTTCTAATTTGGAATTAAGAAAACTGATGCTTGTGTTAATTACAGTTCATATGAATTCACTTATATATTGCAGTAACTTTTAAAAAAAAAGTACTAAGAAAATCACTGTTAATATAATTCAGTAGTGGAAAATGGGATTTAAACATTTAGTAGTTCAAGTCTTTAAATATCATGATAGACATATTTTATTAAAACACGAATTCCACATGTTTATAAGAGAAAATGTCGAAGTAAATTATTACCTAAATATTGAATTGATAGAAGCATTGTAATATTTCAAACAAAATTCCTTCGCATTGTTATTTTTAATGATGTATCTTTCAATATTCTTATTTTTTTCGAATTATGGTGTGCAATATGGCTTAATGCACTTACAAATATTTTATTTAAATCGTTTCAATTATCCAAGAACTTAAATCGTATCAATTATCCAAGAAGTCATTAATGTGCAGCATTTACTAAAATTATTGTTAATTAATTTAAATTAAATTTTATTAATAGGAATTAAAATTTTATGAATAGTTTGATTCCACAAAGTGAAATAAGAGAAAATTTTTAAAGGCCACACTTTTTACTCTGAGCAGAGACTGTGGATATTTTATAAAATTGCAGACAAAAAATCTAAAGTTTACTTTTAAGATAACATTCTTCGAAATATGAACTTATCTTTTATGCTTACCATTCGTTTTTCCTACGTGAACGTGCAGTTTTTTACAGTGAAACCTTAGCTCACGAACTTAATTCGTTCTTGGAGATATTTCTTCATGCGAAATATTCGTAAACGTAAGCATTTTCCTCTACAGGAATTGATTCCTTTTCGAATACCATAATATTGTTAAGAGAAGAATACTTTGAATGTAACTTCGTATGAAATTTACTAAAACTAATGCATACGTAGTATTAATTATACACAATATTTAGTGCAATGCTGAACATCTAAACATATAAAAAATAGTTAAACTTTAATTAGATTCTACCATATCTCTGTGAAAGAAAGTTGAGGACACAAACAAAAAACAGTGAAGAAGGCCAAAATGCAGATTGCTATTGTTTAAAAGTTAAATCCGATTCGTAAAAATATCAGATAGCTTTTTTTTTTATTGTTTTTTTCTGTTTTGTTTTTTAAAACCATTTGCCTGTACTTGAGAATCGCTGAGCCTTTTCTCATTCATTTCAAGATGATTTGTTTCAATTTACGTTTTCGTGTGTTCTTATAGTATGTTCTAATATATTTGTTTTTAGTCCAAAGGGATTTGAATCCCGAAGAACTATTAGTTTCGTTTTGGCATTTTGCGTCGGACTCATAAATGTCGGTTCACTTTTCAGACTGTTGCCACAAAATGTTAGAGTCCTGCATTATATTTGAAGAAATTAAATAATGAAAAATCTGCATAAATGTATGTATATTTCTCGTATTGTGATAAAAACAACGGTACATAGAGTCATCGAATTTTGAATAACGTAATCCTCCAACGAATATGAGCATGTGGAAGACCCAATTTGAAATTTGAAATTTGTTTTATGATCGATTTCCTATTTTTAAAACTTTGACGAATTTTTGATTAACAAACTCAAGGATTTCAAAGCGAGCAATGGCAACGTTGTGCAGAAAAAACATTTTTATCTCCAGCGCGTGAGTCTCTGTATCGGAAATTCTAAAGATATGCTCGTTTTAAAACTATTTTGCGATATTGCTGTTGCACTGGATCTTATGGTTTAAGTGCGAGGAACATGATATTTAATAAAGAAAGGTAACACACAAAATGTTAAAAAAACGCCCCTTTGGACGTAATTTAAAATCTGAAACATTTCAGATTTTTTTTTTTTTTTTTTTTTTTTTTGTTTGCGTTTTAACAACAAAACAAGAATGGCATTGTTATTGCAAATACTTGTGCCACGACTTTTGTCAGGATGGTAATGTCTATGAACCTATGCATCTTACCCAATTTTGCATAAGTATTGCGATCCATGCACCTATAAACATCCTCCGTTCTGTCTCCTTCTGAAGATATTTGCTCCAGCGCATTAATTGCATTCAGTTTAGAATAACATTTGTTGCCAACTTACATGTTCGTATCTCGAGAACATCTTTCGTCATCTAAGACATTTCTCATTTGGAAAATTTGTTCGTGAGCTAAGGTTCTACTGTATTAGATTTGCAACAAAAGCTACTTATTTCGTACATTACTTTACGGTTTAAATTCAAATGAAGTTACTAATTAAAAAATTTTAAAACTGTTCGCTTCTCTTTATAATGTACTTCTTTGCCATTAACCAGTTAACTCGTTTTAAGAGTGCGCACCATTTTGTATCGCCAGAATTGAGCCACGATGAGTATATTTGTCAATCACAGAGTAAAGTTGCGCTGGTAAGATATTGGATGAAAAAAATGGTTTATTTTATAAAATTGTAAATTTTATTACTAATATTTACTTATTTGGTTAATATAAGCATATATTGAATACATATTAAACTAAAAACGCATTAAATTAAATTAAATATTATACATATAAAGTAAGAATTTAAAATTCTTGCCGTGGAGTGATATTCAGCAAAACAGGGTACTATACACAATGGGACTTTGCAAATCGAACACCAATAACGCGATTCCTTCCTGACCTTACGTTTGTAGCAATGCGAACACCATCGTGTAGGGTGTTTTTTTTTTTTTTTTTTTTTTTTTTTTTTTTTTTTTTTTTTAATGTTCCGGGTATATAATCCGGAACATAATTCCCGCCAAACTGGCTTATATTAGGTCAAAATGGTCAAGTTTGTGTCGATTTATTTCTTTCAATTGGATACGTCGCAAAAGTGTCTTCAATAAATTTGAGCAAAAAGTTGATACGCGATAATGTTCCATTATTTTTTTTTATATAATATGAATGCCTTAGACACATAATGTCTAGGAAATGGAGAAATATCTTTTTATAGTACTTTTTGAGTCGTTTTCTTGCTGTGGAGTACGCTATGATAATTCCATCGCTCATTATAATGTACTTCTTTGCCATTAACCAGTTAACTCGTTTTAAGAGTGCGCACCGTTTTGCATCGCCAGAATCGAGCTACGATGAGTATATTCGTCAATCACAGAGTAAAGTTGCGCTGGTAAGATTTTGGATGAAAACAAATGGGTTTATGTTATAAAATTGAAAATTTTATTAATAATATTTACTTATTTCAGCGAAACACTAATATTTACTCATTTCAGCTCATTACTAATATTTACTCATTACTAATATTTACTCATTTCAGCGAAACTCCACCCATTTTTTTATTATAATGAATCACTAGCTCCGGTTTCTTTGTTATTATTTTTCTTTTCTCTGTTTCTATTACGTTGTCATAATGTACAGTACTTACTAAATAAACCTCCCTCTTATTTTTCCATTCCATTACACGCGTGACGAGTATACTCGTCAATACACAAAATCATGCCGCTTCTTCATGACGAGTATACTCGTCAATACACAAAATCGTGCCGCTTCTCCATGGCGAGTATACTCGTCAATACACAAAAAGGTGCCGCTTCTCCATGACGAGTATACTCGTCAATCACAGTTAACTGGTTAATTGTTAACCACACAGTTTCCTGCTTTTAACTGCACAATTTCCTTTGTCATTAATTATAGATTGCGTAATGATTAACTCATTCCACTAAAGAGTTTAATAATTATTCATTTTATTGGTGCACTTAATGATGGCTTGTTCCATTTTTCAATAATGCTTCACTCCAGACATGTAAAAACTGTTTGTGCAATCATAGCTGTAGACACGTTTTATGAGCTTATATGATGCTACGCGAGTGATTTTTGTCTCATTTATAGTTTTCCAAGCCACCTGTTTTCATTGCTTACCATGTTAACAACATTTCAGCAGCAATTTGAATGCATGATTTCCCTCCTCGATGCACAATACAAGGCATCTCCCACTATATTTATAGCACAGTTTTGTACAATGCAAAGAAATTGTTTATTGTTCTATAAATAATTATATTGTATAAATATATATATATACTTCTTCTGAAACGCTCTAAGTATGGGAGTGTAAAAAAGTGTTATATTTTACCCTATATTAACCGCTCTAGCAGGGGTTCTCAACCGGGGGATAGCGGAAATTAATAGTTTCAGGGGAAAAGGAGATCAGCCTTTTATTTATCTGCTGTTAAATAGTTAGTTTTGGTTTATAAATATGAAAAGTATGATTCGGACACGACTTCCTTGTACGGAATACTAAATTATAACTAAATTGTACGCATTTTTGCTGCATTTCATTTAAGCTTATTTTCTCAAATTTCATTAGAAATATATTTGTCATTCAATTAATTAAGTTCTTACTTCGTTGTAAGACAAAAATGCGTAAAAACCTCAAAATATCTTAATGGAAAATTGAAAAATATAGAAAAACTAAAGCACCAAATACAGTTAAAACAATTAAAAGAACAATTTTTGGAATTAACATTACAGTTTCTACGCAAAAACAAACAATTCGGCCAGCGGGCGACAACGCAAATTTTTCGCCGAACAAAACTGAAAGTTGGTCCCACTCGGTTAAAAAATATTGAAGGTGCAGAAACTGACTTAATTCACTATTCTGCTAAGTTTCAAATGTAAACAAGTATGGCTGCTATGGTAAACAAAAACTAGGCTTAGCCCATTTAAACAACTTTAAAATATTGATAATTCTAAAACTATTGCATGCAGATTACCTAAAATCATAAACACCTTAACCGGAAGATAAGAATAACGTAATTCAAACATTTTTAAAGCAAAAAATGCTCAATTTACCAGCATATAAGAATAAAAAAATGAGCTAACCCAGCCTAATATACATACATATATATATATATATATATATATGATGTACCAGCTTTTGTCCGGAATAAATAGAATGGTGTAGAAATATAGATGTAGTCGTAGCTTAAATTATCAGACGGTAAGTTTAAAAAACAGAATCCATTTATTATTAGTCACAGTTACAAAAATCATATTTCCGGAGTAAATAAAAAAGAATTACTAATAACTTTTTGTATGAAGTTTACTGCATCGTTACATTAAAGAAAAGACCCCGATATTCCTTTGCGAGTCCTTTTATAGCCTCTGGAAAGGCGGAGCTTCCGAGAAATGATGTCAGCCTCGTCAGCCATTCCAGTTCGCTTTAAATATCTCCAGAACATTCTATAACTGTACGTGTAGAAAAGGCGGGAAAAACAACTTGACTACGGGGCTGTGGATTTAATTTCACGTGCTTTCAAATAAGAGACCGTCGCCATTAAAAATGAAAAGAACATACAGTTAGAATTTTAAATGTATTCCTGACTTTGGAATTTTATTATATATATATATATATATATATATATATATATATATATATATATATATATATGCTTATTGCTTTTGGTGAGGCCGATTGCAAACAAAAAGGGAGGTGCACAACTACATGGGACATCAGTTCTATACACAAAATTTCAAAGTTCTGAGGCTACTCGCTTTTGAGTTATGCGAGATACTTACATACGTATAGATGTGCGTACAGACGTCATAAAAAATCCCTTCTGAATCCATTTTAAATGAATTTTATGATCAGTTTGGGGAAAAGTGTCCTTTATTCTGTCCTTACGTACAGATGTCGCGCAAAAACACCGGTAAATTGCATTCGACAGCGGTCAAATTTGGTATTTTCTTTGAAATCTTATACCCGAAATTTCTCGTGATTACAGTGCTTTATTTACTTCGTACAAGGAATTAAAAATTACTTTCATTAAAGTTTTGTTATTTTCTATACTTTTCCTTGTGTAATTTATAAAACACTTTCAAAAAATATCTAAATTAAAAAATCAAAAAATATCTAAATTTAATTTAATATCAAAAAATATCTAAAGTTAATTAAAAAATCTAAAGTTAATTAAAAAATCAAAAAATATCTAAAGTTAATTAAATAATATCAAAAAATATCTAAAGTTAATTAAATGTATATGTATTTTTCGAGTATTGGAAAGGAGAGACGGCGTCATAGTCTAGCAATGGTGAAAGGGGTGCACGGAGCAAGAAAGGTTGAGAACCACTGCGTTATAGACTGATATTGTACATTTGGTGTATTGTTCTGTAAAAGAAGAGAGTTGTTATTGAATACTAAGATTTTAGAGTAGCAAAATACGCATTCGCAAGCTTAGCTTTTGAGACGACAAATGTCACTCTTTTTCATTTTAAATAACTTCAGTGTGATATTTGCTTAGAAACTGCATTCCAACTTATAGAAATTTGTAAGGTATCATACCTTAAAAAAATCGTATGTTATTAAAGAAAATGTTAAAGTTTTAAACGTTATATCCGCTGCCGATAAATAAATTGATATAGGTCATTTCTTAAAAACACACAAAATTATCAAAACATTATATTTATTTTCTGCCCACCATATGAAATGCATTTATTATTAAACATGGCGTGTGTTACAAATACAAGCTTATTTTAACAAAACTTCAGTACAGCAGTCATTAGCAAAGCATTATTTAGCAGCTTATACAGCTGTGTCTCTCATTATAACAAATTAAATACCTTTTGAGAGATGAAAATTAAGGATGATGTTTGTCGGGAAATAATTTAATTAATAAAATTCATATTTATTTTAATGATAAAAGATATTAATACTTTTTGCATTTAATAATTAGACCTGCATCAATTTACGAAAAAGGTTTCATTGAAAAGTAAAATGAGAATTTCCGTTTGAAATCCCTTTGAGATTTTTCTGCTTTATACTAACAGCAAGGAAAAATAAATGAAAATAATTTGGCAATAAATTAATATAATTAAATGCTAATTAGCTGGCTGGATTTCTATGTGGTTTTCCTCTGCAGGAAATTAATTGTTTTTAATAAAGCAACAATAAACCATTTCAGTTTCAATTCATTTTTGGCGGAAGAACTAATTTGAATTAATACGTTCTCTGCCAACCACGAGTTATCTCGTAGGTCGAAGTTTATGCTTAGGCGCCAGTTACGAGTTAATTCGTAGAACGTTTTTGTTTTACCTACGCCACATGCGATCAAACTCGTAGTATTTTTTTGTTCTTTGGAGGCATCCGGCTTTGGGGTTTAGAAAAAACTGAAGCTGGCACAATTCAAGAGTTTTATTATAATTAATATAACATAGGAACTGTAAAAATAATCAAGCAATTTATAATAACTGTTGTAAACATAATCAGTCTTTGTTATAAGCAAACCACCAACTACAGTAGAACTCCAATTATCCAAATCAACTGGGACCGGACCCTATTGGGATAATAAAAAATTTGGATAATTGGATTTTTTTCGAAGAAAGGGTCTACATACACTTTAATTAATTACCGTATATATTGTATGTTTAAAATGAAAAAATAGTATTTTTAAAGGAAAAGAGGTTTTAATTAATTAAAATGAAAATGCAACACTTTTACGTAAATGTTATATAGCGTAGTGTACAATACATACAAGTGCTGAAAGTCATTGCTTGCTGAACATCTCGATCAAAGTAAACTGTTTGACTATCTTCATCCGTTTTGGGGCAGCCAAGTCGCGTATCCGCTCGACAATGAGAGGTTGCATGTGGTCACACTCGGGCCAAAGCTCCATCCACTTCAACGCAATCTCAAGGCCGGCAAACGCTTCACTAGCTGATGGTCCCACGTCTGCTTCAACTTCGACATTAAGGTCATTTTCTTCGTCGACACTTTCAGTAAGTTCATAATCATTTAGAATTTAAAACTCGGTGTCTAACGAATCACACACCATTCATTCTGCTGTATCCTCAGTACTAACTTCTGAATATCCAAAAATTTTCAAAAGAATGTTTCTTAATTGCACAAGTGACACGTCATTCTCGTCTTCTTCTGTCTCTTCCCTTCCTTTTCTTGAGCTTCTTTTTCATTTTTCCCTTCTCTTCTTCAGTTGATTCTGAAAAATTCTGAAAGCGATTCAAAAAGTCGTAGTTCGAATAATTGGAGTTGTAATGTACGAATATACTCGTTACGAGTATGATGTCATAAAGGCTGTAGTTGGAGCTGTCATAAAACATTTTATAGCAAAACCTGACTACAATATTACTACTGTATCCTCAGCACTAATTTCTGAACATCCAGGAATTTTCAAAAGAATGTATCTTAATTCCTCAAGTGACACGTCATTCTCGTCTTCTCCTGTCTCTTCCCTTCCCTTTCTTGAGCTTTCTTCCATTCTGCTGTATCCTCAGCACAAACTTCTGAACATCCAGGAATTTTCAAAAGAATGTTTCTTAATTCCTCAAGCGACAC